ATTTTTTTTATGTTTTGTTGAAACCATCAAATAGTATATTCACATTAACATTTATATTTGGTGGGTGTATAAATTCTTTTCAATTTGTATGTCTTTTTTTTAACTTGACTTGTTACATTGGTGAAGTCCTTGATACATTTTTAATAGAAGCGGTAAGATTTTGTTGGTCTTTACCTATTGTTTATCAGGTTGAAGAAGTTCTCTTTTTATTTCTAGTTTGTTACAGTTTTTATCGTGAATAGGTATTAATATTATCAATCCTTTCTCCCTATCTATAATAGTATTTTTTCTCTCCTGTCGTAAATATGCTGAGATATATTCTGGCCAATGACTAGAACACTTAACTCTTTATTTTTATCATTATAATATTACCACACATAAAGTATATGCCTGTAACAATATACTGTGAGCATGTTTATTTTTTGTGACTTTATATCATTGGTTTTGTACCCATGAATGTTACACTTTCCCACTTAAAATATATATTGACATGAGACGATGACTTGTTTATCTTCATTGATCTGTAGCATTTACTTATGTAAACATTATACACTAAAATCACAATCTCCCATAAGAGCATATTTGGTTTGGTTACCAGTTTTTGCTGATAAAAAAATTTTCAGTATGAATATTTTAAATACATCTCCTAGTGCATGTGTGAAAAGACATGTGTGTTACTTGGGATGCAATTGCTGGCAAAGCATCTTACATGTGTCTAAACGGGGGTTGGGCAAGAAAAATTGGAAATACAGTAAGCTCAGCAATAACAAATAAGATACTGCTTCAGTTTCACAAGAAGGTGCATATTTCTTTTCCAAAATGAGTGCACCAATTTATACTGACACAAATGAATAAGATGAGCTGTTTTTCTAGGTGCCCAAAAAATCTTCGTAGTAGCTTTCTTTTTAAAGTGTTCTCCATGTGGTGCATGAACATTGGTATCCTTTATGGTTTTATTAGTTGATAACAACACCAATGTTCCTTTTTTTTATGCTTATTTTGATTCTTGTTTGTCTTTGAAATGCCTAGTCATATACTTTTTATGTAAACTGCAGTGACATTACATTTAGATTAATTTGGAGAAAATTATAATTTTATATTGAGTAGTAGATTAAAGTCATTTACTTTGGCTACCTTATTGCTATTAAATAGGGTAATATTCTCCATTATCTCTGTTGTTAGAGTTATTCCAAGTTTATTAAGTTTTTAATATTTTGGCAATGCAAATAGCGTGTCAGAATTATACTTTTAAACTGTATAATGCTGATGCATAAAAATCACTTTATTTTTTTTTTGGTTTTATGTATGGCAACTAGGTATACTTTTAATTATTAATTTTAGCAGATTATAGATTCACATGCTTCTTTTTTGCAGATATTTATATATCTTTTCACTGGGTATTTATTTGCTTTATTTATTTATTACTTATTTATTGGTTAAGACTTCCAATAATACCAAATGGAAGTGATGATGTCAACTTCATTTTTTTGCTGCTCACTTTAAAAGTCATGCTTCTGAGCACGGGCCTATAAAGTTGAATGGGGTTTTGATAGATAATCTCTTATTAGGATAAGAAGCTTGCTTTTATCCCAAGTTTGAAGAAGCATTTACTATTATTACTATTATAGATACTAAATTTTTATCATCATCTTTGCTTTCTCTTCTATTGAAGAAAATAAGAGTTTTTCCCTTCTAATATGCTAACATAGGAAGCTATTAAAAGATTTTCTAAAATTAAACCAATGTCAAATTTGTTTCTCCACTTAACAAATATTCATTAAGTGCTTACTTGTGCTGGGGATTTTCTCAAATCTTGTAATAAAATCATATGTAAATTAAGCTAATAAATATATAATATGGTATATGGCAATAAGGGTTTTCCATACAAATGGAGATTGGCAGGTGCTTATCTTGGTCTTTTCAGACTGCTGGAAGGAAACACCACAGCAGGTGACTTATAAACAACAGACATCTGAAGTCTTGGCAGCCCAAGCCCAAGGTGCCAGTGTGGTCTGGTTCTGGAGAGGACCCAATTCTCAATTCCTAGCTCACCCCATCTGTTACATCCTCCTTGATGGAAGGACAAGGGTCCTCTGTGGGGTCTCTAATTCCATTCATGGGGCTCCATCCTCAACACCAGCCCCCAAAAGGTCCACCTCCTAGTATCATCATCTTTGGGCGTTAGGACTTTAGCATATGAATTTTAAGAGACAGAAACATTCAGACCATAGCATTATGCTCTGGGTTCTCACTTTAAAGAAGGATCTAAGAATGTCCCATCTGACAAAAATGACACCTAACCAGAGACTGAGGTAAGAAAATGAACTGTGTGGGTCTAGGCAGAAGAGCTTTCCAGACAAAGGAGTGGTAGGTACAAAGGCCCTGCGGCAGTTACACTCAGGAATAGCTGATGAGTGAGAGGGGAGCAAGCTGTGCCGTGAGTGGTCACAGGCAAAAAGCACCAGCAGCACATGGCCATGGAGGCTGACTACTCAGATGCCTCATTGCAGATTCTTGGTGATAGGCAGACGGTAGGTTTTTTTTTTTTTTTGGAAACAAATAAAACTCTGGAGACTTTGAACATGACTTACTTTTTTTTTAAAAAAAAGGTTTATTTATACATACAAGAACTGAGGTGTAGGCCATAGGTGTGGGGGCGGGGGTGAGAGGATTCACCAGAGACAGAGTGGGGAGCAGAACAGTAAGATCCACTGAAATCCACTGCTGAGGGGAGCAGCAGGGAGATTGGAGAGGTCTCCTGAGCCATGTGGGTCAGCTCCTTGGCTGGGGATTGACTCAGACTGCGGTGGCTGGGATAGCTTGATAGCACTGAGACTTTAAACCTGTGCCAGCAGGGAGGCCATGACTTACTTTTTTAAATAAGTTACTTGGGCTCCTTTTGGGAAGATAGAGTGAACACAAGAGAGACATGCTACAAGCAATCAGGCAAGTGCACAACTACGTGGCCCAGATGAGTAAGGAGGGCTTGGATCGTGTGCAACACTGGAACCCATAACGAGAACAAATACTATTCTAAACACTACTTTCCAGCACTCTGTATAAATTGTACGCGTTTCCTCACTGTCACAGCTTCACAAACTAGCCACTATTTTTACCTTTATTACCTATGAAGAAACAGGTACAGTGAGGAGAAGTACCTGCACTTGTTTAAAAAGCATCAAAGCAAAGATTGGAAGTCCAGCAACAATAAACAAGTCTACCTCTAAAGGCAGCTCTAGGGAGGTGTCAAAGACAACCAGGGGCAAAGACAGGAAAGTTTCTTGATCGCTCTCCCCCTAGAGGGAGAGCTCCTGGTGGCCTGAGACTCCACTGGCGGAGTTTTTAATTGTCTATGACCCAAGGATGTGTTGCTTAGAGTAGGAATCTCCACTCTTGGGAAGCATGGAGAGGATTCCCTTTGGAAGCTAGTGGAAGAGGTGGAGAGCTTTGGAAAATTTTCTTTGATAACTAGTATATTTAAAAGGAGACGCCTGGTTTTCTTGAGTCTGACAGCTGCAGCAGACTTTCATGGTGATGAATAAAAGGACAAGGAAGTAGACTCTGGGGTTCTTGCTTTATTCCCCTCCCCTACTTAACCTGAATTATCTGTCCTTAATACTCAAATGCTGAATCTGAATTTTCTCTGGCTGAATGGTAGAAAAGTCTTTTTTTTATATTTAAAAAAAAAAATAAAGCCTAGTGCATTGTCAAGGTGATGCCACGGAAGGCCAAGTTTTATTATTCCTTGTAGAAAACTGTCAATCATGTGTCTCTGACAGTCCCTGGGCACCCCAGCTGCTGATACATACTTGGTCATTTCCATCATTTCCAGGAGGAAAGTCCTTTCTCTAGACCCCCTTAGGTATTTTTTGCTCATCTCAGATTTATCTTTAGTAAGTTTTTTAAAAAATCAGATCTCAAAATGCTCAGGAAACCAGAGTTTAGGTGCAAAGGTAGGAGAATAGGCAGTGCCGAAGAAAATAATGTCTGTGTATGGAAGGCATGTTGTGTGAAATGTATGCACGAGTTTCAAATATTGTATATATACAAGCAAACATTTATTTACAAATATGAGTGCTTTCCAATGTGTACATGTGCCATGTATACATGTGCATAGATGCTTGTTTATATTATATATTTGTAGTATATGATGGTACCTATTTATAATGCATGTAATACACAATGTTATATGCTGTGAGTGATTACAGACAGCCTAACACAGCTGCAATATGTAATGCACATGAAGGTTGAGAACCATTTGAAGTCTTGAGAAGCTCTCAGATAGTCACATCTCTGAATCTTGGTGTGAAGTTCTGTTTGGTGGAACTTGAGGAAATCTGGCTGGTGGACTGAAAAATCAAATTTAAATAGTCTGAAATGACTAGATCAGAATGTAAAATGGCCTCCCTGGTGGCACAGGGGTTAAGGCAGAGCTATTGATGGACAGAAATAGGAAAAAAACTGAACAGGAGGCACCACAAGACCAGAAACCAGGCGCACACAGGGGGTGGGGGTAGAAGACATCAGAATCTCAATCTCTTACTCGATATCAAGTCTTAACTAAAAGTTCCCATTAGCTGAGTATAGACCACAATGATCAACTTTGCCTTTCTCTGGATTTTCCCTATAACAGGGATGTACCAGACATTCAGCAAGTGCTTGGTTCATGTTCCCACTTCACTTGAAATCCTTAGAATTCTGCCCCATCACCCACTAAACTGCACAGTTTGACCTATTGTGCTGACTCTATTCACAGCACTGAGCATATGATTGGATTATATCCCAGTGACCAACAAACTGTCGGAACCATAGTTCCCTCACCAAGGGCAGGTCCTGGTGGACAGCGTGGGCACTGCCCTTCACCACTGTGTCATCGCTCTCGACCAGGGGTCCTGCCCCGAGTGGTGAGGGAGTGGTGGGAAGACCGGCCACAGGGCTGCCCCCTGCCTGAGCTTCCATCCTGCTTGCTCAACAAACTTGTCTTTTCGTGTTCTCTGCAGTGATCTTCACCGCCATCCCTAATTCCCAGCCTGCCCAGGAGCAAGACAGGTTGACTTAGGCCTGAATTGCTGAGTACTGAGTATTAAGCATGAGCTGTCTTGTTACAGGACCCTCCCATGGGTGGGCAGGGAACCTGAAACCTGCCCTTTTCCTGGGGGACCACCCTGTTATAGTCTGACTTGTGTTTGGGGACAACTTCTGTTCCCAGCGTGGCCTTTCAAATCTGTTATTATCAGATCATAGTTTCCACAGGTGCAATGCAAAGAGCTTGAACATTCCAGGAGTCCGAGCATGTGAGTGGGGGGAGTGGTGAAATAGATCTGGGGTTCTTCACCCAATGGGAACTAGCACGCTCGTTCAATGACAACTATTTTTCCTATCTTAATGATTCTGATGCGAAAAGCATAGGTAATGTAACATTCTGCACAGATAGTTTCAAAACATCAACGTGAAGCCCCAATTATAATATAAAGGCCAAGTGTGTACTAAATGCATAAGGAATACAAATGATCAGACCCAGCTCGCTGCATTCACACTGTCCTAAGTCATATGTTCCTTATTTTCTCTCTGAATCACAGCCTATTCCCAAGATGCGGTTGTAGATCAACTCTTGCTTTGTTTGTAGACTTTTCTTCTGAACCTTTACTGAGCTCCAGCGATGGGCCAGGAATTATTCTGGAGAACACAGGTACTCAAGTGCCCCACGTGGCCAGTGAGGAAACCCACAAATCAGCCTGTAACAGGGTGGCAGAGAAGTTTACATTGGGTCAGCCCATCACTGTGTGTGGGCCACATCAGGTCTTGACATTGCTGGAGCAGAAGGGTGGAGCTGAGGGAGAAGAAGCTGCAGAGGAGACTGAGGAAGGAAGGAAGCAGGACGGAGCCAGAAGGAGGCCTGGAAGAGGCACATGGAGCCGAGAGACACATGAAGAAACTGCACTTGCCTCTGGGTGGACGGGGTGACACAGATGTGGGTGAGACCCGTGGGGAGGTGACAATGGTGGTTTTTGTCTTGATTTTGATGTTGTTCTTTTCCCTCCAGACTGGTCTGGTTGTTTCTGATCCTTTTCTGTGGGTCCCCACTGGAAGGTGCTTTAGACTTGGGGCAGGCTTTGGGGCCTTGCTCTGGGCCAATCCTGCTTGGGCGGACTTTTACCCATGAGGGGACAGGGAACTTTGGGTGCTTGATTTAAAAATTATGTTCTTTGCCTTTTCTGTGTTGTTTCCTAATTGTGTTAAAGTTCCTTCCCATGAAAGTCTTATATGTTTTGTGTTGATGCGGCGGATGGCAGAACCCATTTAGAGCAGGCAGGTTTGCTGGGTTTGGGTTGCCCCTCACCCTGCCCTGTAACAAGCCCAGTTCTCCAAGATCTTACTGATGGGAGGCAGCCAAACAAGGTTTCAAACCCAAACCTGCTGTGCATCCTCCCGCTATGGCCAGCAAGAGAGCTGTGGGGTCATCACCGAGAGCAGCAAGAGGAGGGGTTTCTAGGGACAGAGTTGATGCCCTATTTTTCTAATCCAGATGCTGGTTATATGGGGTTGCTGAATTTGTGAAAATTCGGGGAGGTTTATCTATATGATTTGTTTTGCGTGCACTTTTCTCTATGTATGTTATTCTTCAATGAAATTTAGGGAAAAAAGCAGCAGATCTATCTGAATCTAAGACACTTTCCTTCGCCTGAAGCCAGACTCTCTCCATGAATCCCCAACCCAAATCTCAGATCCTCCTCAGTACCCTTTTTATCATTTTAATAGCACTGCTCTGCCTTTCAAAGGCGGTTCTTCAGACCATTCCTTACTAAGTGACCTTAAGACAAGCTTGAATTCCTTTGGGCTGGTAGGTGAAATAGATTTTGGAGTAATTGATTCAAACATGAGTTATACATGAGCTTCATTCCAGCCCAACCATTTCCATCCGAGATTCTATAATAAAGACTGAAGAAGGATTTTTCAAGCTCAGGCCAGTGGAGACTTCCAAAGGAGGAAGCTCACTGCATCAAAGAAAGTAGCCAGAAATGGTTTTGTGTGGGGAACTGAGTCTTATCTCCCAAATGCAAAATAATGAATTAAATTGCTTATTGGTGTTCCAGTCTTAAGATGGCACTCATGAATCAGGTCACTGAATTGCATTTGAACACCAGTGAAAGACCTAGAAAACAAAGGAATCATAAGAAATTTATATTTTGTTGAATTCAATTATACATTTAAAATAAGAGAGAGGAAAGAGAAAATAAACAAAGTGCTGTCTTCCATACTGCCATGGAGACAGGCTAGGCAGAAACGGCCAGGGCCCACCCAAAACAGCTGCTGGCTTTGAAGGTTCCTCGGCTTCCTATAAAAGTGAAGCATTTATTTCTAGACAAGTAGATCAGTTTGCAACTTCATCCTACAAGGACCTGAAGAAATCAATGAAGATCATAAAGGAAATGGATTAAGAAGTTGTTTACAGAGTTGCATTCAGACATTTTATATACTTTCCTATATCTTATAAGCTATGAAATGGCTTTTCCAAGAATAAAATTAAATATTCTAATTAGTCATCTCACAAACTGACCTTCGACCATAGTATCTGTGTAAAATTTAACTTCATTTAATTTGTTAGTCTTACAATGGTCACAAAGACCAGATACAGATGAAACAAAACAAACAAAAAAAAAATGTGACTTACAGGTTAAGAAGAGGAGACTATAATAAACTATTTTTTTTTTTAGCCTGGTGTTTACTAGGCACGATGTTAAATATTTAAAAAAATATATTTATTTATTTATGCATGCAGGAACTGGGGTACAGGCCAAAGATGAGGGGAGGGATGAGAGGATTCACCAGAGACAGAGTGGAGAGCAGAACAGGTGGATCTGATGAGGACAAGAATAGAAAAACTGGAAGGGAGGCCTCACAAGGCTGGAACCTGACTCACACACGGAGGTGGGGGTTGAGGGGAATAACATGACCATTAACCCAGCTGTACAGGTCAGACCCTTAGGTACCAGTGCCTCTTTATGGGGCATGAGACCCAAGCAGGATCCCACTCCCAGATGCTCTAGGGAGTGGAGCACAGGTCTGAGGGTAAAGATACAGAGATTGGGCCCACCCTGGAATCTCTGGTCCCTTCCTGGTTTTGCCTGTTACCCAACATCAGCAACAAGCAGCCACTCCAAGGAGGGGGGACCCCTCCCAAAGAGATGGGGACTATATCAGTACAGTCTCTGCACAGGCTGGGGCAGCACCCCAGTGCCCACCTGTGACTATGCAGCTGCCTCTTTTCGCCAACTCTCCCTCCGCAGGGCAGCAGCTTCCCTGCCTGCCCGTGACCCGTACCTGCCAGGACTTCTCTTCACTGACCTCCCTCAGCGGAGGCTGCTGTCCTCAAGGCCACCTGCCTGCAGCCATGCAGGCCTCTCTTAGCAAAACCTGCCCCTTTTCCTTTCCCTAATAAACCTGTTCTTTAGATATAACTAATGTCTCTGTCTTGTGGAGAGACGGGCCTGGGGAACTTGCCGCGAGCCGCTGAAACGGGAGCACTGGTGAAACCTTTCCCAGAGTGAACCCAAGGACCCCGCACTCTACAAAACTCCATCAGATCCACTGAAATACACTGCTGAGGGGAGCAGTGGGTAAGACAGGAGAGGTCTGCTGTGCCATGTGGGCCACCTCCCTGGCCAGGGATCGAACTCCTGCTGCAGTGAATGTAGATAACTTCATAGTGCTGAGACTTAACCCCTTGCGCCACCAGGGTGACCCAAGATTAAATATTTGAAATATTTTGTTGGTGATTCACCAGAGACACAGTGGGGAACAGAACAGGCAGACTGACCAAAGTACACTGCTGGAGGGAGCAGTGGGTGAGACAGGAGAGGTCTGCTGCGCCATGTGGGTTGCTCCCTGGCCAGCTGGGGATCGAACTAGTGCTGCAGAGGCTGCGGACAGCTTCATTGGTTGAGACTTAACACCTTGTCCCACCGGGGAGGCCCCTATCTTGGTAATCTTAATCATCATTCTGTAGTTGTAAATTAGAAGCTGCATTAACCAATCTTGGTAGCAGGAGTCCCTTTGGTCCAGCCCCCAGGTTCTGATTTTATGATACCACTGTATGTTATCTTGTGATTATTCTGAATTCTGATGGAAAAAAAAATCCCATTTTTTAGATAGCCTCTTCTTCACTTGCATGCATTCGTAATTTTCTCAGCTTCAGGATATTTTATCATCTTTTAAACTCTTTTCATTATCGTTACACCTTTTGCATAATGATCATCTGGGTTCGTGGCAGCCTCTCTCAGTTGCCAGCCCTGCCATTGAGTTTTTATTGTTTTATTATTTTTTCGCATACCTAGGTTTATTTTGAAACCCATCTATATATAAAATTTGCATTTTATAAGGATGTAATTTAATTTTTGCAAAGAGTGTGTGTATATACCAAGCTCCAAGATCAGGAAATAGGTTCTTATCAACGATCTCAGACACCCACCTCCATTTCTTTCCATGCACCAACCCTCTCCCAACGGCGTCTACTCTGCTGACTTCTGGCATCATATAAATTTTGCCTTTTTTTGTACAGGATCCTACAGTATGTACACTGGCTTATTCCATTTCTTCCTACATTTGGGTATTCATTCATATCATCGCATGCATTTGTAATATATGTGTTCTCACTGCTATATATATCAATATGTGAATATTTCTCAATTCATCTATATGTTCTGTCGCTGCCAGCATTTGGAAAGTGTCCAGTTGGGCTTTGTATGAGTAGGGCTTCTATGAATTTATTATTACATCTCTTTCTGTTAACATCTTACATATTTCTGTTAAGTATACTCTTCGTGGAATTGTTTGTTTTGATTTTCTTGGTAAATGTTTTCTGTCATTTCAGTAAGTTTAGGGAAGAATGAAAAATAAGTACATTGGATTAATATGTCATCTTTTACTTTGAAGTCTAATACATGATTTTAATGGATAAGAAGCATTTACAATGCAATACTAATGATAAATGTCATACTTTTAAAGATTTTACATAAACCAGAAAGAGGAAACATCGAATTCGACTCCATTTTAAAAAAG